GGCGAGACAGAACATAGTGTTTGTTAAAAAGTGGTCCAAAGAAGAGCCTAAGGATCCCATAAATTCTTCTTGGAAGTCTCTTTACATTTCCCTTTTTCAACTGATACAGGTAGTCCTCAACTTACAACTATACTGGAATCTGCCCATCACGGTCATAAATTGTGATGATTGTAAATCAGGTCACTCAAAGAACCGACCTGATTTTTGTGACCTATTTTGCAGCATTTGGTTAAGCAAAATGCTGCAGTCATACAGTGACTTCTGTGGTTCATTAAATAACTCTCATGGTTATTAAGCCAACCAACAATTTACTATAGGCTGGTTTTGTCAAAAAACTGGAAGCAATGCCAGGATTGGGCAAACCATCGTAAAATGTAGCTGTGTGATCGTGGGATGCTGCAAATGGATTTTAATGGTGTAGAACAGGGGTCCCAAATTTGGCAACTTAAAACTTGTGGACTTCAACTTTCAGAATTCTCCAGCCAGCTGGGAGTTGAAGTCCACAAGTCTTAAAGTTGCCAAGTTTGGAGACCTCTGGTGTAGAACCTATTTAAGCAACTGATTGTAAGCTGTGGACTCCCTGAGAGGGTTCATCTCTATTGTGATGGTGCAAAGGCACTCCTCTAATCATTTGTTGTAAGGTCTGTGAGCCTATCCTTGAGAGACATGTGGCAGTAGCAGGAGCTGAAGGCTGAATAAAGGTCAGATAAGGGCAGCTTAGTCTGCAGAAGGGACGAGGATCTGGCAAACCGCTCAGAAGGACCTTCCCTAATTCTTGGACTATAAAGGGGAGAGGTGTACTTGCAGATTTGCAAGATCGATGTCAGCCCTTTGAGGTATTCTTGACAAGCGCCAACCAGGACTATAAACTCATATCTTATTGTGATGTTACAGTAAGATACAGGTGTCAAACTCGTGGTGTCACATTACTGTCAGGTGATGTTTTGCGACGTTTTTCCCCTTGGCGGAGCTGGATTGGGCAGGGCCTGCGTATGAGGCATCTGGCCAGCGGGTTGCCAGTTTGACACCCCTGCAGTAAGAAAATCTTTCTCTAAAAAAGAAGAAGTAGCTATTCTAGCAGCAGAGATTCCTAGCAGAAAAACATGAGGGAAATCTTGACATAAGGAGCTGTATTTTTACAGCCCAGTCTTAGAAAAAAAAAATTTTATAGAGAAGAAAGCATTTGCTTCCCTGGTGCAGAATTCTGTTGAAGGATCAATGTCTGAAACAGTGGGTGGGAGGCAACTTTTTAAAGCTGCTTCTTTCTCTCTTTTAAAATACGATGGTTGTTTATAATTGACTTTTCCCTCTGGGACAAGAAAATCAGGAGAGGGAAGAATTACCTAAAGACCGAGGTAGCCTACTGCAAAGGAGGCCTCCCTCACGGTGTGGCACCCTTGCGGATGAAATGTTGGGCTTGTCAGTTCAGAGGCTGTGAGCTACCTGGTTTTTTTGACTTAGCCTTCTTCCTACCTGTGTGGTATCAGGTCAAAATTGCAAGCAGGCAGGCAGGCCGGCCCGTGTTTCAGGGGGTGGAGGAGCCCAAGATTTCCTCTTAACCAGAGAAGTCAAATTCTACAAGGATGATGTAGTGGAAGAGGGTAAAGTGGTGGAAAATAGTGTTCGAAACAAAAATATTCAGTGCTGTACTATACGTATATATTGAAATATGTCATAGGAGATCTAAGCAGGGAGGGAGGGAAAGAGGGAGGGAGAAAGGGAGGGAGGGAGGGAGGGAGGAAGGAAGGAAGGAAGGAAGGAAGGAAGGAAGGAAGGAAGGAAGG